CAGTAGTTGACATTTGTCCAATTGCCACAGTCTGTGGGGCAGATTGGGTGGATTGAGGCAACCATGTCTTGGAGGCCAGAAAAAGAAATCCTCAAACAACCCTTTGGCCTGATAAACTAGGGAATTTTCTGAGCCTCTGATTGGAATCACGCCCTCATCTCTCTTCTGTATGGGCCCGCGAGAACCTGTTGTGCTGGCAGCCACTGGAAGTGGCGATATCATAGTTTCTTGCCTGTTCTGGTCCCGGTTTCCCCGCAGTCCCTCTTTGTTATGTGTTTGGTTATGACTTTGGGACATTGGTTTTATGCTAGAACTTGTTCTCATCTGATCTGGCTCCAAGAACTGCTTATGTAATCCAGCAGCCTATCAGTTCTGCCTTCTTGTGCCTTTTTGCATAGACTGATATTTAAAGATGTATATCTATATAAGCTTATACGTATACATAGGTATATAGGTGTATAGGTAGCTATGATATATGCCCCTTCTCATCATCTCCACTTTTCCACCCTAGTCCAAGCCACCGTGATACCCCTGTGTACTTTTGCAGTATCCCCCTAAAAGGTCTCCCTGATTATACTCTGTCCACCTCAAACCCAATCCCATTCACTCTATTACCTTATGTCAGCTAAAATAATCCTTTTAAAATGTAAGTCACATCACTCTCCTACTCGAAACGTCCCAAATAGCTTCTAATCACGCTTGGAATAAAATCCAAAGCCCCTACCCCATGGCCTCCCAAGGCCCTATATGACCGCCACCATTTGACCGTGCCAAGTGTGCCTCAGAGCCTTTTCCCATGCCGTGCCGTGGAGCAGGTTCTTCCCAAAGATCAGCGCTGGGCTGGACGTCTCCCTTATGTAGGTGGTGAATCTTCAGTTCTCGTCCCTCCTGGCCTCGTGGGCCCAAGACACTGAAGCTGGGGTAGAGGCGTCCTGGCTCGGGAATCTGACCCTCCTAGTTACTGCTGTTGGCTTCGCATCTTCGCATCAGGTCAAGGCCGTCACACAGTGTGCCAAAGTGAAGAGAA